TGCTAGGAATTGAACTCTGGGCCTCTGAAAGAGCAGTCGGTTCTCTTAACCGCTGAGCCAACTCTCCAGCCCCAGAATAATGGATTTTAAGCAGTCTGGATTTATTGTTCCTTGAAGACATGTCTCTTCTGTAATCCTTTTCTCCCAGGCCCTTTGATGGAAAGTTCTGTCCTTTGGCAAAGCTCCTCCTGGTTGTCCCGTTTTACTAGGGAAATAGCACCCACTGCTGTCTAGCGTCTTGTAGGAAAGTAAGTATCCCATGGTTGAATAGGTCCAGAACCCTGAGCTGTTTTCACTATTGCTTTTTTTTTTTTTTAATTTTTAAAATTTTGAGACAAGGTTTATTTGTGTGTCCCAGGCTAACCTTGGTCTTGAAATCTTCCTGCCTTAGCCTCCCAAATGCTGGGATTGTAAGTATACCTGTATCAGAACCCAGTTTGTTTGTTTGTTTGTTTGTTTGTTTGTTTGTTGTTGATGATATTGAGATGGAGTCTCATGTAGCCCAGGCTGGCCTCAAACTTGCTATGTAGCTGTAGCTATGGTGTTTTAAATGAGTATGGCCCCTATAGATAGGCTCATAGATTGGACTGCTTGGTCACCAGAGACTGTCGCTATTAGAAAGGATTAGGAGGTGTGGCCTTATTGGAGAAAATGTGTCACTGGAGATGTGGTGTGAGGTTTCAAAAGCCCATGCCAAGCCCAGAGTGTCTCTTTCGGACGTTGGATCAGAGCGTAGACCTCAGCAACTTCTCCAGTACCATTTCTTCCTGTATGCTGTCATGCTTCCCAGGATGAAGATTATAGACTGACCCTCTGAGACTGTAACGGGCCCTCAATTAAAGGGTTTCTTTTATGAGAGCTGCCATGGTCACGGTGTCTCTTCACAGCAATAGAATACCGACTGAGTCAGTAGCCAGTGATGGTCTTGAATTCTTCATCTTCCATCCTCTGCCCCCTACTGCTCAGCTGTTGGAACTACAGGTATGTGCCAGCACAAAGAACCCAGAGATCAGTTTTGGGTTTCAGCCGCCTCCTTGCCATGCAGGAAGGCAGAAGCTAAGGACGTCTGCACATGTAGCAGATTGCCTGTGGGACTTGGTACTGCCTTGGGTTCATTGCAAGCTCTGATGAGGAGGAAGAGGGGATTTGAAAGGATTTCTCCTCTCTATGGCAGCGCTGCCACAGAGCTCTGGGATTGTAGGCTTGCGCCACCATGTTCACTGGGAAGAGAGGCAAGCATTGTAGAGCCGGATAGGAAGACTTAAATCCTAGTTCAGCCACTTACTATGTGACAGTCTACAAGGATCCAGACTGAAACCCGCCATATTTTAAGCTTCTATTACTTGGCTCGTAAAATAGGTATAGTACAAACATTAAAGAGAGGTTTAAATGAGATACGTCTGTCTTTACTGTCTAGTATGGTGTTTGACATTTATTTCACTAATTAGGCAGTAACAGATAAGTGTCTTAAGACACAGATTGAGAGCTGGAAGAATTGGCTCAGTGGGCAAAGAGCTTGCTACCCAAGTAGGAGGACCCATGTGAGAAAAAAAAAAAGCCAGGTTTGGTAGCATGTATTGGCAGAGAGCTCACTGGCTGGCTAATCAAAAAAAAAAAAAATCAGGAGGGAAGACTAGGGGGAAAATGTGACACGGACCTCTGGCCTCCACACACACTGCATACATCTGAGGATGTGCGGGACTCCGTTATCTAAGGAGTCAGGAAGATATCTTGGGGATCAGTGCTCTCTCTACCAGCATGCTTTCCCACTGTCACTTGAACTCATTTTTTGCCCTGTTGTTAGCAGGTTGCTGTCTCTTGCTCCTGTCTCTTCTCTGCTAATGTTTCTGAATGTTGTCCATGAATGTTGTCTTGCTCTGACTTAAAAAAAAAAAAAAAGATTTATTTATGTACTCTGTCTGCACATACACCTGTGTGCCAGAAGAGGGCTCCGGATCCCATTACAGATGGTTGTGAGCCACCATGTGGTTGCTGGGAATTGAACTTGGGACCAGGCAGTGCTGAGCCATTTCTCCAGCCCTTCTCTTCTTGATCTGATTTAATCATTGATCAGATCCATAAGACCTTCTGTTTTTGTTGTTTGAACTTGCTTCATAGCTGAGGATTCTTTTGAACTTTTGGATCTTCCTGCTATCACCTCCCAAGTGCTGAGGTTTCTGGGTGTGTCTCACCATCCTTAGGTGGGATTATAAGCATGCTCCACTGTCCCTGGTTATACTGATTAAACACAATGCCTCATGTGTTCCGGTCAAGCACTCTTAAAGATAGATTTGTGTGTGTGTGTTTGTGTGCATGTCCATGCACATGGGTACATCTGTATAGTGTTAGGAGCCGCGTTCGCTATTGCAACATGGCGCCGGTTTCCTGCTTCCTGGTTGTTCTTGCGAGCCTTGCTTGAATGTGCGCCTGCGCAAGGCGCGAAAACCAGTATGCTAATTTGGCGATATCATAAGAGCCAATGAGTGTGTGGCACGTCTCCTAGGGCTCTATATAAGCCACAGGTTTTTGGGGGCTTGGCGTCCCTCACCTCACTGCCATCTAAAAGAGCTGTAACAATAAACTGCTGTCAGAAGAATCCTGAGTGTGGCGTTCTCCTTATCGGCGAGGCGGCGCCCCGCAGCATAGGGTCCAAAAGGCAACGCTGGGTGTTATCCACTGTTTTTGTTGGAGGCAGCATCTCCCAATGGTTTGGAGTTCACCAAATAGTTAGGCTGGCTAGCTAGTGAGCTCCCAGGGATCCACACCAGATTCAGTCTCCCAAGTCCAGGGGTTACAAGTGTACATTGCTTAGTCTGGGCAATTAAAAAAAATGGTCGCAATTCCCTGGTACCATTTATTAGCTTCTCAGTCATCCAGGGCTTCTCCCCATGAAACAGAGTTTCTTTTATTTATTTTTTATCCCTGACTGTCCTGGAACTCAATTTATAGACCAGGCTACCCTCAAACTTAGAAATGTGCCTGCCCCTGCCTCTGGAATGCTGGTGTTAAAGGTGTATGCCATCAATGCCCAGCTTCTTTTTTTTTTTTTTTTTTTTTTTTTTAATATAGGGATTCTGAGACCAAACTCTGGTCTTCATGCCTGCAAGGCAAATATTTTGATTAACCAAGCTATCTCCCAGCCGTCTTCTCTTGTTTTGAGATAGAGTATCAGCATGTAGTCTAGGCTGACCTCAAATAATATACAATTCTCCCTCAGCCTCCTGAGCGCTGGGATTGCAGGCATTTCCCACTGTGCACAACCTGTAAGATGCAGGTGATGTCCTTTCTGGGTCCAGATGATTAGTGGCAACTCATCAAAAACAGAAAATAAAAAGTAGTCATGGCCCGGCAACCTGTCAAACAAAATGGCCGCTTTCCTCAGGGAGCTAATAGAGACCACAGAACACGAACCACGTAGGATTAATGACTTTTAATTTCTTATATTACTAACGTCTTACAGTAAGTGTAGGGGGAAGAAGGGGATGAGTCAGGAAAAGCAAAGTATCTTTCAGTTCCTTGAGCTGTTGTAGCACGTGCTGGAATGTGAGTTCAAAAGAAGCATCAGTCCTTGTCAGCACAGAGCTTGTGCAGGAGTGGGCGGGGACAGAAGAGCTTGCACTGGAGCGGGCGGGACAGGACAGACAGCTCTATCGCTCTGGTGGAAGTGAGCAGAGACATGACGCAGACAGGTCTTGTGGACGCCACAGTTCGGTGCACAAAGAGCTGACCCTTCAGCCTGCCTCCGTGAGGTGGGGAGAAGCGTGCATACCCCTCCTGGATGTTTCTGCCTTTCCTTCGGGGGAGGGACACCCACCAACTGAAGCAATGTAGCCCTGTTGGGGAAAGACTCGGAGAAAAGATTTCTTTCTTTTGCTTTTTTTTTTTTTTAATATTTGCTGGTGGTGTTGATTGACCAGAAGTGTTTATTTTTATTTTTTCACTTTTGGGCAGTAGCATTGTGTCTGTTGATAAAATGTCCTATACGTAGCATACTTAAAAAAGCAAGGCCTCTTGGGGACCTATCCTAATGGAAAGGGGGCATGTGGATTCTAGGGCAAGGGTATGAGAAAGCTAAGTCTACGCCACTACAGGAAAACCAACACAGAGGAGACCTTGTTCCTTCCCTTCAGAGAGTACTCACTTCCTCTACTTACATTACGAGATCTAAGGTCAGCTTAAGCATTAAGCACAGCAGAGGGTAACCATCACCGCGCTTCTAAAGTTAAAATGGAACGCTACATCATTTAATGTATTTTTTCCCTTCTAAGTGGATCTGGACAAGCCGAAAGCCTAGGGATCCTGTTTATGTTAATTTTTTTTTTTTTAAGGAAAATCCTTAACACTAATCACTGCCGTTATCATTAATATTTTTCTTTTTTTAAGCTACAGATGTGAAAGGACATGAAATGGGCAGGGGTGAGTTATACAAATCACAGGGATGGGTCAACATGCATCTAATTCTACCCACGAGTGAAGAACAGCTAAAGGGCGTACGTTCTATGCGTGTTTAGAAGGGGACACTACACTAAACTTCTTTCCTTCCTCTTGGGTGGGAGAAAAGGAATTATGGGACTGAAGAGAGGGGAAGAAACGTGCCTGTGAGAGTCGCCTATCGCTTGTGACTCGGCTCTGTCAGAGGGGGGTGGGGCATGGTGTCCGGAGCACTAGCTTGTCCTCGGCAGTGACTGTATGTTTTTAGGCAGCTATAGTAAGGTTCTATGGCTGGGTCCTGGTGGGGTACAGTGGATAAATGTAGGTTTCAGTTTCGGCTCACAGCCAGTGATGATCAGATTTAGCACCTTCATTTGAACTTCCTCTGCACCTGAGTCACCTGTCACTGTGAAGCCTGAGCTGTGGCTGAGAAAGCCGTGTTCTTGGAGAACTCCTCCTCTGCTCCAGGACTGCGGTTTGCTCCCATCTACAGTGGCCTTCCTACTGGAGAAAGTAAGGATTCGGTACTGACTGTGACATGGAAGCCATGAAGACATTCTATAGCGGTGGAAGGTGTGGTTTGGGAGTGAGCTGTGAATAAGCCAAGTGCATTCCCTCTTAGGCATCAACTGTTTTGTTTTTTTAAGCAATGGCATTACATTTTTTGGCTTGAAATGGTGCTTTCTTCTACAGTTGACTTTTCGGTTTTCTTTGTAGATGTTACCGTTTCCTCTAGTGTTTCTTCAAAACTTTCCCCTATCTGGGATGTTTTCTTAGAGACTTCCTTAGAAGCCCCTTCCTCCTCCTCTTCCTCCTCCTTTTTCAGGGACAGCCCAGTGGCCGAGACTTTGGAGGTTGTAGAACTAAGAATTCTAGGAGGTAGCAAATAACTGGGGTTGGGAAGCGGATTCAGCCCTGAGATGCTTAATCCACTGCTGCTAAATCGTGTCTCTTCGCCTTCCAGCAGTTTCCTGTAAATTCAACAAAGAAAGGCCCTCAGGAATCAGGTTCTGAGTTTTGTTTAAAGAACTTAACCCTTCAGTCCTTTCTCATTTTAGAGACTCCAAAGAGCACTGCAACTTCTTCACGAGACCTCGACGGTAAAACTGCACTGCGTTGGAGATTAGTGTGCACATGAGGAAGCCTAGCCCATTCACAAATTGGTTTCCAGCAGGAAAACATATGACAGCCCCCTTGGCCGCATTACACACCCACTTTTGGCAATTAGAATCTACAAAGCTCTGGAGAGAAGTAATTCCCTAATTAACACCTTAACTGTAAAGGGGTAAGGAAGTGAGAAGACACAGAGGGGAGGGAAAGCTGCTGCCTGGTGCAGCCCACAGTTGAGACCTGTGCCTTTGCTGTGTGTGGTAGCAAACCCATCAAGTGATATAACCTCAGACACTAATCTCCACTCAGCCTAGACTAGACAGCACCAGAGCAGCGCGGCCCCTAATCTTGCTTCTCATAACTCTAATAGGGTTTTTGTTGTTGGTTGTTGGTTTGTTCTTTGGTTTTTGGAGATAGGGTTGCATATAGCCCAGGCTGGCCTTGGTATGTAGCTGAGGCTGGCCTTACCTCCACTTGGGAATATGGGCATGCACCACCATGTCTGGCTCATAACTCTAATAGGTTTTAATCATCCTTTTTCATAAAAGTCAACTCAAGATAATATTAAATACTCTGGGGCCTTATTTTGGAGCAGGTGGTATAAACAGTGGGAAAGAGAAAAAGAATGTGTTGGCTTCTGCAGCACATAAACACTGGAATGCTATAGAGAGAACTGGCACGGGCCGGCATAAGGATGGCGTGCCAGGTCATGAAGTCTTCCATATTAAAATGTCCACACTCATCTGAGGGTGAGCTGGAGGGAGGGCTGCCACTTTCTCACTTGTTTTTAATTAGTTTACTTTTTAATTAATTAATCAATCAACAACATACATATCTCGATGGTAGTTTCCCTTCACTCCTGTCCTCCCAGTCCTTCCCCCATCCACCCCTCCTCCCTTTCTCTTCAGAAAAGGGGAGGCCTCCCATGGATATCAACTGGCCTTGGCCTATCAAGCTGCAGTAAGACTAGGCACATCTCCTACTGAGGCTAGAGGAGGCAGGCTGCCACTTCTTATATTTTTGGTTGTGAGCCCAGCCTTTAACGGCTGAGCCATCCATCTCTCCAGCCCAGGCTGCTACCTAGCAAAGTGAAGCTAGGTTATATTCGATTAGCAGAACTGAGGGGTCAGCAAGGACTATGGGACCGGATATTGATGCTCTCCCCATACTCCCTTGCTGGTCAGAAACAGACTACCTGGAGTCACTGACATAGCAACCCTGTTGCTGGGTGATACATGTTTTGCTAGGGTAAACACGCCCTCCTGTGTACCTGTAAGCTGCTATCTCAATGTCAAGGGCCATTTTGACATTGAGCAAGTCCTGGTATTCCCGAAGGTGGCGGGCCATCTCGCTCTTTGTGTTCCTCAGGTCACTCTCCAGCTGCCCAATGCTGTCCTGGAAAGTACGTATTCAAAACACTTAATCAAAGTAGCAGAGGTCACTGACATTTGTACAAGGCAGGGGCGTCAACCCCGACTACAATTCAAACCACGTAAGAACGGATAGGGTACTTACACAGCGATCTGTGTCCAGCCTGGGTCTGCTTCGTTCACTCTGGGGTAGAGACTCGGTATTTGCATTTTTCCTCTTAAAGACTCATGGGAAATTTAGATGCATGCTGAGGGTTAGGAACGTCTACCAAGGGACACGTGGTTTCATGGACCTTCCTTCTTTGTTTGTTTTTTTTTAAATAACTATTTTTAATTATGTATATGTGTGTATGTATGAGTTCAGGGATCTCCAAATCTACAAAAAGATGTCTGATCCCTTGGAGCTTTGGTTACAGATGGTTGTGAGCAGCCAGGTGGGTACTAGGAAGCAAACTCGGGTCCTCTGGAAGAACAACCAGGGCTCTGAACCACTGACTCATCTCTCCACACCCAAATTTTAAAAATACGTATTTACCATCTCCTTCTTGCTTATTCTGTTTATTTGTTTTTGAGAAAGCATTTCACTCTGTAGCCCTGGATGGCCTAGAACTTAGTAAGTAGACCAGACTGGCTTTGTCTGCTTCTGCCTCCCAGCTGCTGGGATTAAAGGTTATGAGCCACCATTCCAGTGTTCCAAAGCCAGTTAAGAGATAATGAATTCTAGCATTTGCTAAATAAGTTAGTTGAACATCATGGCACATAGGAAAGACCCAATAAATGTGAGCAGCTTTCATTACTGTGAATAACAATGTGACTACCTTAGGTCACCGAATATATCATACCCATTATTAGTGTGTAATGAAAACTTTAAAATGATTTGGCTTTAAATTGTATATAGGTTGGGGCTGGAGAGATGGCTCAGCAGTTAAGAACACTGGCTGCTTCTCTAGAGGAGCTGGTTCAATTCCCAGCACCCACACGACAGCTCACAGCTGTCAGTGAGCTCGGTTCTAGGAGATCCAACACCCTTACTCAAACATGCATGCAGGCAAAACACCAATGCACATAAGATAAAAATTAAAAAAAATAAAGAAAATACAATATTTTTAAAATTATGTATTGGTCTGGAGAGATGGCTCAGTGGTTAAAACACCTCTTCCAGAGGTCCTGAGTTCAATTCCCAGCAACCACATAGTGGCTCACAACCATCTGTAATGGGATCTGATGTCCTCTTTTGGTGTGTCTGAGGAGAGCAATGGTGTACTCATATATATAAAAAATAAATCATTTTAAAAATTATGTCTGTACATATGTATGTTTATATGTCTGTGTGTGTGAGTATAGATGCCCATAGAGGTAAGAGATATTCTGGAGCTGGAGTCACAGGCAGTGTGAGCCATCTGATATAGGTCCTTCATGAGAGCAGCACACACTCTTAACCTCTGAGTCATCTCTCCTATCCTATATACAATAAAAATTTAATGTTGGATAGGTGATTGCATATTCCTCAAAGCACCAGATTTTTTTTAAAAAAAATGACAATTTTGAATGTTTTACATTTATTTATTTATTTGTCTGTTTCTGTGTGTGGGCATGAGTGTATCACAAGACAAGCATGAGAGCCAGAGGACAACTCATAGGCATTGGTTCTGTCTTTCTACCAGGTGAGTTCCAGGGATAAGCATGGCGTATGGTTTTTCCTTCCACCATATATGGTTTGGTTTCAACTCAGGCTATCATGGTTCATGGCCTTACCCACTGAGCTAGCTTTCTTTCTTTCTCTCTTTCTCTTTCTTTTTTTCTTTCTTTCTTTTTTTTTTTTTTGGTTTTTCAAGACAGGGTTTCTTTGTATAGCTCTGGCTGTCCTGGAACTCACTCTGTAGACCAGGCTGGCCTCAAACTCAGAAATCCGCCTGCCTCTGCCTCCCAAGTGCTGGGATTAAAGGCGTGGGCCACCACTGCCCGGCGCTGAGCTATCTTTCAAACATCCCTCAAAGTGATCATTTTGAATAAAGCCTTTTAAGGTGGCAAATACTACTCATCATTGGACATTAAACGAAACAGTCTTTCTCAGCAACCAAGGATTATGAAAATGATGTTATTTTTCTCTAATTTTATGTTTGTTATCTTTTAGATATATTCAGGGTGTCTCTTTCTACCCTAAATGGTTCTGAAGAGTAGTGTTTGTCTTCCTGTTGTAGTTTATTGCTTCTCTTTGTTCTGAAAGATAGCCTGACTACTGGCATTCCTGACAGCGCCTCCCTGCGGTCACCTCCTATCCTCATGGTTCTGCAGGCTTGAAACCCGATTAAAAAATCTCTTTAGAATCACATTAAGAATGGTCAGGCTGAGGGCATCAGTGGGGTCAGCTTTCCAATGTGTAGTTTAGAGGTAGACATTTTGCCTCAGCAGGCTCATCTGGTCATTTATTAGAAACTACTTTTATTTGACAGCTGCTTGCGGAACACGGGACTGCTGGGCACCTGAGCTCTAGACGGGTTCCTTGCCCTTGTATGTTATATGTTTCACATGGCTCCTTTATGGATCACAGTTGGAAAAAAGTGTAACGCAGCTCCTCCCAGAAGGAGCTGACTGAACTGAGGACCACCGACGACGACGGCTCTACGCTCTGGTCTGTCTGTACATTCCTCCCGCACTGGGCTATCTTGCTGCCCTTCACAAGGCCTGCCAAAGATGGCCTCCAGCGGGGAATGAGAGCAGAGCGCTGCAGTCTGCCCCCTCCCCCAACCGTGCTGCTGGAGAACAGGAGAGAGGAGGCACTCCCTGCTCCAGCTGGGGTCTGTCCTGGCGCATCTGGCCTGGAAGGAGGCAGGCTGGGAAGACAACAAAGCAGGGCTGCCCCAGCATCTGCAGTGAAGAGAAGGAAAAACGGTGGGCCCATTTCCTTACTTTGCGGCTAGAAGGGGAGCCCTCAGTCAGACAAGCAGGAGTGCCGGCCCTATGGAATGGAACTACTCCTGTGCATACTCAGCCAGCCCGGGAGAGAAGGTTTTAATGGATGGTCACCCACAGGAACCGCATGCCCTTGTTCTCACCCCTGTGTTTGCTTTATCCTTGAGTTCTATCACCCTCTAAAATCGTACTTTCCTAGAAACTGCAGTGTAGGTCATTACACTCCACAGCCAGTCTGAGAACAAATGGTAGAGCACGTTACTGAAAGAGCACATTCTTAGCAAGTGTGGTGGGGGCATGCCCATAGAGCAGGCTTGAAGGACTAAGGCAGGGGCACTGCAATGCAATCCCAGATCAGGCTACACGGGGAAACCCTGACTCACAAAATAGAATAGAAAGTATATTCCTGGTCCTACCTAAGAAATACTGAATCCACTTCAGGAAAAAAAAAATCTCTTTTAAAAAGCTGCTCCTTGGTTTTGGTATACCATGGGATTTAGATGAGAGATTTAAATTATCCCTGTAAAGGAGGTATTGTAATGGTCCAGGTGATGGTAATAGGGTGAGATAGGATGGGGGCGGGGGGTGGGGTAGGGACCAGATGGAACAGCTTTTAAAAAAATGAGATTTTTTTTCCTTCCCTTGCCATCCTAATTTCAGAAATGGATCTATCAAGCTATAGATTTATATGTAGCCACTGCCATCTCTGGGCTCCCAAGGGCCAGACCCTTTCTGCTATTTAATTAGGCTGGGCTCCAATCTCATGTTGGAGAAGAGGGCAGACTTGGCTTACCTCCCTGGAGAACATTAGCCAGCAGTGATCTTGACTGCTCAGCAAGGTCTTTCAAGGAAAGCCTTGGCTTTCTAAGACGCCCACAGCACAGGTCTGAAAGCCAGTTCTCTCTGAGTCTGTCTCTGCACGGCTTTAGTAACAACTGAAATTCTAATCCAGTGTCCCAGCTATGTAGGGACCAGAGAGTGTCCTTTGCTGGGAAGGAAAGGCTTGTTTTCCCATGCGAAGTGGCTGCCTTTGGCCGGACACTACAGCCTTAGTTCCTCCTATTGTGTGCTTGCTGTGTTACCTTGAATCAGTCTTTGTCCTTTTGAAAGTATACCAAGTGCTTTGTCTTCAAATAGGCTATCAGTTCTCTGGGGCAGGTAAAAATGACTTTAATGTGCACTTTCTTTGTCTTTGAGGGGACTGAAGGTTTGTAATGGAAAAATGTACCCACCACCAGTCTCTGAACCACTAGGAAGGAACACCTCCCGTTACTACTGCAGTGGAGGGGGTGGGGTGGGGTAAAAGGGCAAGAAGACAATGGCTTCACAGTGAGGAGGGTTTCCACCTCAGCCATCATTGAGATTGCTAGGACCAACCAGGAGAGGCAGGACTTAGTGTTTGCAGGTCTAACTGTGAGCCCCACCCCAGCTGTGGGTCCCAAGGGGTAGGAAATAGCTTTGTGCTGTCTGGCCTCCTCCTCCACTCCCTCAGCAAGTCCTCCCAAGGCTAAAGCTGATGAGGACAGCACAGAGATGCAGAGCCTGCAGTTTCTCCTGCCTCTTGTTTCCTGCAGACTGTGTCTAGACAGCCCTACTATTTTCTAACACAGAAAGCTTGTATTTTAGAACAAATAAGCCAGAGTAAGGGGTTAGGAAGCCAAAGGAGAGTGCAGCAAAGCCCAGTTCGGCTGTTTGGGGTAGGTGAGTTATACTTTTTGTAGAAATACTAGTCCTCAAAAAGAATACCTAATTCAACATTTGAATTAAGTGTGATTAATTCAGATCATCCAGGACCTAGGACACATACTGAAAAGCTCAACTTACAGATTTTGTAGCAAAACAGGAATATTTATTTGAATAAGACTGTACTATCAGACTAATGAGGCTTTTTCCCCTTATGAAAGGAAGCCACTTATAATGGACAGTAAATACCTGCAAATCAATAATTCTTTTGATTCTGACAAAATGGTACTTTTGGAATATGTCATTTGTTGGTTCTATTTTTTATTAATGTTCCTCAAACACATTAATTTCATCAAATGTAAAATTCAATCCTAGCTAGGACAAATTACTTGAAGTTTCTGAAATTACTGTTATATTCTAAAGAGCTTTCATTGTTCCTTGTACTTAAACCATCTAATTTTGTCGGTTTTTTTCTATATCTTTCATTTGTCCTGTCTTCTGTCTCTGAGCCTTTTGTAGTCACAAGCTAGCACGTTCAATGTAGTGAAACTGAGGACACAGCGGGCTTTGTTGTGAAGAAAGAGCCAATCATTACCTTCACAGAGCTTACAGGGCAGGGAAAGATGAAAAAAAAAAAAGTCACCTATAACAAAGAAACCATCTCTGTAAGTCGCCACGTGCCTGTAAGTTGAAAAGATGGTAAGGTAATGGGAATTTCCAAGTGAGACCTCACAGCCGGCAAAGCAGATTAAAAGGTTTTTGTTAACTGCAAAGCTACCTTGGAGGCAAAAATTGATGCTGTCTAGAAAATGAGGTTTGACTTCAGTTAGCCGGGACTTATTGTGTTACAGAATTTTTTTTTTTTTTAAATGAAGCAGTTAATTGCATTGAGGCCTAGAGTTCCTAACTGGGACAATTTGGAAACATAATGAAGCAGGAGCCATTTCTGCGGTGGGAGGAACATGAGATCAGCACCTCGGACAGCGCCCTAACCGGTCACCAGCAGAACTGGCTCAAGCTTGCTTAGTAGATGGACAGGGAACCGCGCGTGTGCGTGTGTGGGTTTCTTGGGGGGGGGTGCAAGGGTGGGGCAAGGGAGTTGTCACTAGCTTACTTATGCCGGATCCTACTCCTTTTTTGGAGCAAAACTCAAGAAAATGACCCTTGTTTCTAACCGTAAAGCTGACTGTACCCTATAAATATCAATTCTAAGGCTCAGAAAGGGCTTTTCAAAGCCAACCAAACAACCCAGATACTTAAGGACCCGCTCACACAGAGGCCGTAACCTGTGCCCTCTGGGGACACTTTGGATCGGCACTGTTCTGATAGTGTGTCTGTACTCTTGGTGACAGGAAGGCATGGTTAGATTTTTTTTTTTTGACTCCTAGAAAGATTAAAGATTCCTTTGTTACAAGAGTTCAGACAAGAGACTGGGGGTGGAGTTGTAGCTCGGTGTTACAGCATATGCCTAGTATACGCATGAAGACTTGGGTGTCGGTGCTTAAAACTCTCCCACCCCCCAAATTAGAGTGCGGAGACATCAACGGATTGAAGAGCTTGCAGGCACGTACAGTTGACATTTGAGGCTGCATGCATGAGACTTTGTGATTTTTTTTATTTGTTTGTTTGTTGACTGGATGCCTCTAGTCAATGCTCCTCTCTCTCCGCTTCCCTCCCGTGGTTTCCTAGGGCCCCAGTTTACAGGGAGTGAAGCTATCTATGTGCGGAAAAGGACAGGGCATCCTTTCCTATGCAGCATCCCAGCCCTTACCTGGTAGCCGGCCACCTCAGCACTGTGCCGCTCCTCCAGTTCCAAGATCTGCCTCTCCAGGGACTCATTGGCTCCGCGCAGCCCCTCTATCTCAATGGTACGTGCCTGGAGCTGGCGCCGGTACTCGTGGATCTCCTCTCGGCTGGCTCGGATGGCTTCGGTGCTGCGCGCAGCCTGCTCGTTCAGGTTGGCGAACTTGGACTTGTACCACTCTTCGGCTGACTGCAGGTTCTTAGCGGCCAGGGACTCATACTGGGCGCGGATCTCCCTCAGCGCTGAAGTCAGGTCTGGTTTAGCCACAGCCACGTCCACCTCGGCGGCGGCTTGCGAAGATGCCTGCAGCGTGGCCAGGAGCTCGGCCACTTCCTCGTCGTGCACCTGGCGCACGAAGGCCAGCTCGTCCAGCAGCGACTCCACCTTCTTCTCCAGATCCAAGCGGGCCAGAGTGGCGCCGTCCACGTCGCGCTGCTGCGCCTTCAGGGCGCGCTCGGCGCCTTCGCGCCCGCGGCTCTCCTCCTCGCAGCGCGCCCGCAGTCGCTGCACCTCCTCGGCCAGCCCGTCGCGCTCCAGCAGGGCCTGCGCGCGCGCCGAGCTCGCCTCCTCCAGCTGCGCGCGCAGCTCGCGCAGCTCGCGCTGGAAGAGCTCGCCGACGCGCGACGGCTCGGCGTGGCGCTGGCGCAGCGCCGCCAGCTCGGCCTCGAGCGCACGGTTCTGCGTCTCCAGCTGGTGCACCTTCTCGATGAACACCGCGAAGCGGTCGTTGAGGCCCTGCAGCTGCTCCTTCTCGTTAGTGCGGATGATCTTGTACTCGTTGGTGCGCGCCGCCGCTTGGCTCAGGTCTAGCCCGTCGGAGGCCGGCAGGCGGCGGTAGGCCAGGCCCAGGCCGAGAGACGAGGCCGAGGAGCAGGCGGCGGTGGAGGCCACATTGCTGCGGGACAGCGACTGCGAACGGAAGCTGCCCGAGCCTCCGGGCCCGGACAGGCGCGCGGAGAGGCGCGAGCCGTCCCCGAACACCTTGCGGTAGGAGGAGGCGGAGCACAGGTAGTGCTCCGATCCGAAGCTCATGGTGCCGGGGTCGGGGCCGGGTGCTCGGCTGCGGCGGGACCTGGCGAGGACGCGAAGGTGCGGCAAGGCTGGGTGCGGCGGGGCGGTGTGCGGGGCTTTTAAGGCGCGGGGCTGGGGCGACGCGCTAGGGGTGGAGCTTCATCTTCAGATCTAGCGGGGAGAGGAAGGGGGAGCCTGCGGAGGCGGGGGAGCGCAGTGCCACCGCAGCTGCGCGCCACCGACCTGGGCCGTCCCTGTCCGCTGCGCCTGTACCCCAAGAATCCGCCTTGGGAATGACCTGAGGGGAGGGAGTGCCCAAACAACCTTGGCTTCCTGGCCGAGAGCACTCAGCTCTTTGATAGCTTTAGAACCTGTCCTTCCTTTTCTGCTTTTATCCCCCCACTGAGAGCAGGTTTTTCTGAAAGGTGTCCTCTGTTCTCATCCGCATCCCAGAGTTCCCAAGGGTGAGGCCCTGTTCCTCCCCACCCTTTTCAGGGGGAGCGAGCATCCCCCTCTTTATCTCCTGGCTTAGGCGGCTCCTGGTTCTCTTCGGAGAAAGTGGGTCCACTTGAGAGAGCATCCCCCAGCTCCGCAGCCAGAGGAGATGGGAGGATTCGCAGAGACCGTGAAATGCTCGGGGACATTGGTGAAGAATAAGAGGCTGATTTTCCAAGGGTGCGAAGGGTTACGGGGAGGGAAAGAGGCCAGGCCTGGAAAAAGACAAAGCGTTGAGAATTAGCAGGGTTTATCTCTAGACCTCCAATCATGGTGCATGCGAGGACCGCAGGGGCGTAGAAAGGAGGCTTTGGTTTAAACAAAGACCAGAAACAACAACAAAACACATTAGATTTAAAAATGTTTCAAAATGGATTTTTAGTCAGGAGGTTTCATTTAAAAAGAAACTGGGTTGATTTTGACCTTTTAATGACCAGCCCCTGCCGCTCTTGAAAGCAGAAGGTTTAGGATGACTGCGGTGGGCGGAAGTGAGTGCCTTTGTTTAAGTGCGGTGTTCCTCACAGCTCCCAGCACTTCAGAGTCACCCTTCTCACCTCGTTTTTTTACCCCCATCCATCTGGCCCTGTATTCAGAGCACCATTTTCTGTAGGGATTAGTCTTTGGACCAAAGATACAATTCCAGGGTGAGGGAGAAGAGCCGGGCTGACAGAACTGGCCGTCCTCGCCACACCCGGTGAGGACAGAGTGAGAATCTGAGGGATGGATGGATCGGTTGTCTGAGTTTACCTTCCAGCCTATGGTACAACTCAGGTAAATGTGAGAGCCCTTTGCTTTGTAGTTCAGAATTCCAAACTTACATTTGTTTGTTTGTTTGTTTTGAGACAGGGTTCTCATTCTGCTCCCCCAGTAGCTAAATTGGCCTTGCTCTCAGTCTAAGCTCTTTGCAATCCTCCTGCCTCTGCCTCCCAAATGCAGCAGTTAGCAGTGTGGCCCACCACAGTTGGCTCTTACCACATTTTTTTTTTTATCTTGGGGTTCTAGAACAAGTTTTGTTTTACTTCATGAGAGCCATGTATTACAGGACTCTGAAAGTAAGAGAAAAGTAATTTTATGAGACTTTGGAGCATATCTCCTGGCTCTATGCCACAGCTGTCCTGTCTCTTTACCATTCACCAAAAACCTGGGCTAAAAACAATGCTGGGGTCTTTTGGGATCTAAAAGACTCGCATGCTGGAAGACACTAGCCCTGGTGAGGAATTACAGCCTGGCAGTCATTGTATAGCTCCTGAGTGTGGTTGTCCTTCCTCTGGCCGGGTTTCAAGATGGCTGTCATTCCCGGCCCGAGGCAACCAATAAGCAAAGGCATACATTCTTTCCAACTCTTGTTATGTTTTACAGCCAGAATAGGGGTAAGTGGGCTTCAGAGAATTTTGGTCAGTAACAGATGGTCGGGTTTATAATTTGAAGATCATTGGACTGAGAGGTGATGGGTTTGAATGGGGACCCTCCCTTACTTACTTTGGAAGAGTGACAGTTCTGCGTCTCCTCTCCTGGTGGTGGAAGGCTGAGTTGGTACACGTGATTGTGCTGTTCCTTCTGCTTCTGGATAAGGAGATCCTCATCATCAGTGTTTTCTAATATCTAAGTATGTATGTGCACCACTTCCTGGTATCATTGGAGGCCAGAGGGGTGTCAGAATCCCTGGAACTGAAGTTACAAGACAGTGTCGAGCCACCATGTGGGTGCTGGAATCGAACCTGTGACCTCCGGGAAAGCAGCCAGTGTTCTTAACCCACCGAGCCATCCCTCCAGCCTCAACATCACCATTTTTCTTCAGATGGGACACTGCTTCACATCCACGACCGACGGCAGCCTGAGTAGAGCTTAAAGACCACAGGAAACCACGAACCATGGTGTGCACAGGCTCCGTGGGAGAGACCTAAGCCAGCCCTGCCAGTGCCACGGCCTGGCGTGCAGGACTGCAGAAAGTGGAACATAGTCCAAGCTCTCTCTGCACTGGCGTTCCAGTCTCAGGTCAGCCATGCTTCTCAAGGCTGCCAGCATTGTCTGGTGTTCTGGTTGGGCTTCTGCCTTTCTTTTCCTTTCAACAAAAGCTGCTCCCAAAGACACAGACGGATGCAGAACAGAAGAAAGGTGAAGCAGATGGCTTAAAACCCAGCTGACGGGCAAACGGGCAGTGCTCTTGAGAAGGGCGGGGTGGGCTGCATTTTACACTTCATCGACAGCTTACCTATCCCTCTGCGTCTTCTGCATCCCATTCTGGACATCTCACTCCAGCTGAGGGGTTTGGCTTTAGTAATGTTAGCACAGGCCTGTCCTACGGGGGAGTTATCTTGGCTGTACCTCCGTAGCTCCTTCCAGCTGACTGGAGTTCCTGATGGAGTACCTGGCTGTGTGAGGACTGTATCTTCCCCTTCCTGTCAGCTCTCAGGCTCTCAGAGTCTGGGCCAGTCAGTGCACTCCAAACACAGTCTCTGCGGCACCTGGCAGGGTGGCCACTCTCCTCTGCTTCAGTTCTCAGACTCTTGAGGTCTTCCCCTTGAGCTGTTTTTTACATAGTAGGCCTTCCAGAGTCAGCTGGAGCTTTAGTAAAGTTATCTTGCTGAGAAATCTAAATTGGTTCTTTGTTGCCATGTGACCTTGAACATAGCCATGTGATCTTGAACATATTACTACTGTCTGCTTAACTTCAGTTCACTCATCTGTAAAACTGTCCGTTCGGGCTATCTCCAAACCTGGCTGTTAATTAGAATAGCCTTACAACTTAGTATCACATTCTCAGGCTTCCTCTCAGGAGATTGGTGGGTGGTTTAGTTGAGATTATGTATACTAGGCAGGTGTCTGTCTCAAGGCTCGCAGTGTAACTATTCAATAAACACTGAGCTCAGAAGTATCAACTTAAATTCATTCATTCAGCAGATAGTCACTGACTGTTGGCTGTGTGCCAGGCACCGGAGCAGGTGCAAAAGGGGCAGGGCCGGGGTGGGGGAGGATGTAACCAAGGCCTCACCTGCGATGTTAAGTTCTAACTCTATTTCTGTTCCAGTACTTCATGAATGTTCATCTAGAGTGAACTTACATAGAGTGAACTACAGCACGTACCTCAATTCTCAGCTGTCCCGGAGGCCGAGGCAGAGGAGTTGCTTGGGTTTAGGGGTCAGAGGTAGTCTGTGTGACACAGTGAGATCGTCTTTAAGTGAAATGTTACTAAGCAGTGCATGATGGAGCATGCCCATGGCCCCAACTCACCGGAGACTAAGGCTGGAGGGCTCTGAGTTCAAGGCCAGCCTGGACTATGTGACAAAACTTTGTCTCAAACGACCAAAAGCAAGCAAACAAACAAACAAACAAATAATCTCCCTTTGGGGTCGCTCTCCCACCTTCTGATCTTGACTTTAAGGCTATCTCTGTTCCTCATTTTATGTGATTCTGTCTTCCTAGAATTTCTCCCCAGGCTCCTACTATCAGCTATAACACTACATTTATTTTTCTATTTTTTATTTATTTGTTTTCTTTTGAGAAAGGAGCTCTCTTATGTAGTCCTGGCTGTCAAGTGCTGGGATTAAAGGTGTGCAGCCATACCCAGCTGAAACACATTTTTTTTTAATGTTGAGATTTTATCTACAGAGCTTTTTATTCTTGTACAGAAAGTAAGAAATGTTATAATCTCAGTGTAGCTGGTGGTCATGGATGATTGACTCACCAATTGAGGTACTATAGTACAGCAAGAAGCTTATGCGAAACTCTACTTTATAAAATTAATTTTTTGAGACAGTCTCTTGTAGTCCAGGCTGGCTTCAAATGTATCATGTAGTGTTTAGAATGACCTCAAATTTCTGATCCTCCTGCTTCCTCGAAAGTATTGGAGTCATGCGGGTGTGCCGTCAGCGCCAGTTCATGCAGGTGGGGAACCCAAGGCTTCATGCAGGCTGAGCTGTGTTCTACCAACACAGCTACACTCCAGCCCCTTTAAAGAAAATTTAAATGTAACATATAAGTAATGGGGTTCATTATGGCATTTCCTCTGCCCCACACTTATTCTTTGAGATTGTGTGCTGCTATGTAGCTCAGGCTAGCCTTGAGCTCTCAGGATTCCTTCTGTCTCAACCTCCAACAGCTGCCTGGTTCATTACAGTATTTTCTTTTAAATTTCTTATGTATTTGGGTGTGTATGTGTGTATGTGTGTATGTGTGTGGGTACGCATGTACCATGGCACATCTGTGGAGATTGGAAGACAGCTTTCAGAAGCTTGTGTCCCCCCCCCCCCCGGTGAGGGGGGGGGGGGGGGGTTGTTTTTGGTGCCATATTGGTTAAGTCAGGCTGCTCGTCTGCGAGCTTTTGGGCAATTCTCCTCTCTCTCCCATCTCCCTGTAAGAGTGCTGGGGTTACAGGTGTAGGTGTGTGTGTGTGTGTGTGTGTGTGTGTGTGTGTGTGAATGTGAATGTGTGTATGTTTAGGACAGAGTCTCATCATGTTAATCTGGTTAGCCTGGAACTTGCTATGTAGACCAGGCTGGCCGCAAACTCACAGAGATCTTGTTGTTTCTGACCGAGTGCTGGGATTAAAGGTGTGTGCCACA